TTTTGAATTTTTTGGCAATAATATTCGGAAAATAGATAACTTTTAACACATTTTAATGCAATAAAAATTTTTGGTGGGAGTCCCCCCTTAAAATATGACTGAAAAAGGTTTAACTGTGACTTTAAAAAGTTTCAGTTTCGAGCGCAGCTGGATAAAGTTTACAAGTTGCTTAGAAAAGTTTGAAAAGTTTGATCGTGGCTTGAAAAAGTTTAATCATGGACTTTTTGCTTGAAAAGGTTTCAGAATTGCTCAAATGTAGCTCAGAAAGGTTTTCCGATTTACCTGACAAGGGAAGTGTTTTCAAGAGGGACTCCGACCAAAATTTTTTTTGTATTAAAATGTTTCAAAAGCTATCTATTTTTCGAATATTATTGCGAAAAAATTCGAAATAAATCAGAAATTCCCGAAAAACGCCGTTGAAAATGAAAAAAATTCAAAAAAGGTGCCGCCGAGGGACGAGGATTTGAATTCCCGCGCAGTGAGAAACCTAAGCCACGGCGCCTTTTTTTCGCAATAATATTAGGAAAATAGATAAGTTTTAACACATTTTAATGCAATAAAAAATCAACAAGTTTTGTTCTGACGGCCTCAGTGCGGAAACTTAACGGGGGTACGACGAATTCGAACGTTTTCAAAATCGAACAGACCTAAAGTCGAACTGATTCAAATCAGAACCGTGTCTTTCTCGAACAAGTATCAAAACAGAACAAGGACAAAATCGAACTGTTCTAATTCGAACTGTGCACTGTCGAACTGTGCACTGTCGAACTGTCCCAAATTGGAACGCTGTTAGCCACCGAGCGCGCTTGCATTATTTTTCTTTTCTCATTGTTTTCTTCGCAAATTTTGAATTTGATCGAGAATTTGAAGAGAAATGCAAGCGCGCTCTGCCGCTAACAGCGTTCCAATTTGGGACAGTTCGACAGTGCGCAGTTCGAATTAGAACAGTTCGATTCTGTCCTTGTTCTGTTTTGATACTTGTTCGAGAAAGACACTGTTCTGATTTGAATCAGTTCGACTTTAGGTCTGTTCGATTTTGAAAACGTTCGAATTCGTCGTACCCCCAACTTAACTGTTACGATTTTTAAAGGTTTTTTTGTGTTTTGGTATCTATATTTTCGAAGCATTAGCTTGAGTTTTCCCATCTTTTCAGTATGTCAAAAATATGTTCAAGTTTCTGTCAAAAAATCCAAGAAAATTCAGCAAAATTCGACAAAAAACAGCAAAATTTGATTAAAGTACGGTAGCTCAAAGGCGCATATGTTATAATTGTCACTCGAGTATCGCAACGAATTCATTTCTTCCCTTTTCCGAATTTTCTCCCTATTTTCTCCCACTTTCATTCACATTTTCAGCAATAAATCTCCTCTATTTTTCCAGAATTATGCCGAAAAATGTCAACTGGAATGATTTATCCGACCAACTGAAACACAAATGCGTCGGAAAAATGGATTTTGTCACAAGGTTTCTAAATTGTTGTTTTGAAAATTTAAATATTTTTTTCAGAGTAATGCTTCGAAGTACCAGCCGAAACGAGCGAAAACTAGTGGATCGACACAAAAATCGATTTGAATTTGTGCGAATCGAAGAGATAAATGGGTTTCCAATAGGCGGAGTTACCGTAATCCCGTCTTCTGAAAAATCTGAAAATCCGAACCAAAAATCGATAATCAAGGAGCAAGCGATTCATTTGGAGTGCGAGAATTTGAACTACCACCGATTTACGCTCCTCCCCTTTTTGAATTTCGCGCTGAAAACTGGAAAAATCGGACGGCTGGCGTTGGATATTTCAGATGAAGGGTTATTTCAAGAAGTGGCAAAAGCAGTGTTTCGAACTGAAAATTCGAAAAACTGGAATGATTTTTCAGTTGAATTAAAGCTAAAAATTATCGAAGAAATGGATTTTAAAACTAGAAGTTTCTTCCGACAAACTGCCCGTTCCAATAAGAATCTGGTGGATTCTCTCCCAATTTTTATCGATTATATTCAATTTACTGGAAGTTCGCAGAAAAATTCCAAGCAATGCACTGAATTCTCGTTCCAAATCGATAATTTACGGCAACCCAAAACCTTCCGGTTCACTAAAAAATCGGAATTTCGCCGGAAAATTCTTCCAATATTTCTTTATGTTTTGAAAGTTGGAATAATCGATTTATTTTTCTGTCATTATGTGCCGGATCTCATCGATGAGCTAGTTGGAATGTTTTACGGGTGGGAAATTCAAAAATTCAAAATTCGCCATTTGGATTTTGTTGTTTCACGGAGAGCAATGTTCTGGTTCGCGAGGAATAGTGATGAGAAAGTTCTGGAGCACTTTGAAACGGCTGCTGACCCATTTATCGATTTTCCAATCGATAATTTATTGACTTTTCCTTCTGTAAGCTGTTATTGTTGTCCGGCGGCGATTTAAAGGCGCATCGTCCAGATTTTCTGAAAATAATTATTTTCAGCCTATTTTTCTCGATTTTTCGAACTTTTTCAGGTTTTCTTCCCTGAAAATAGCGAAATAATCGATAAAAAGTGTCTTGAAATCAAAGTTTTCAGATAATACATCAAAATTGACGACAAATTGCACAGAAATCGAAAATTTTTAATTTAAAGGCACCGGGCGGAGATGCGCCTTTAAATGAAATTTTGGCCGCAAGGCAAAAAAACTACATTTTTCAGGTGCACAACGCTCGAAAAATCGAAATCCATGAATCGTATAAAATTGAGATTCTGTACGCGATAATTGAGGTAATTAGCTGAATTTTTGAAAAATTTGAATTTAAAAATTTGCAATTCCGCGGCCCGCTTTTCAAATTTTCGATTTTTTTTTTGTAATTTTTTTGCGAAAAAATCGCATCGCAGGGTTGCAGTGGGCGGAGCCTAATTTTTTTGAAAATTTCGACAACATTTTCTTCTAGGAATTTTTTAAATTTCAAAAAAAAATGTTTCAAAATTCCCTCCAAATCTTCGAAATTTCCAGAAATGGATTGAAATCGATGCTAGCACCGGATCCACCGTAATCATCTACAAACCGGGCAACTACTACGAGATTTCTTGTCGATTCGAGGATCGTGTCATGTACAGTAATCCCTATAGTAATCCCAAAAAATTGTTTTCATTTTTTCAGCTACGAAATCCCAAATGAGAAGATTCTGCTGACTACTAACAATCCGAAAAAGCAAATCGAAATCCAAATAAAGCATCAGGATAACTTTGATTACTTTGATTCGGTCACTTGTCAAATTGTAGAAATGTATTAGTTTTATTTATTTTTTATTACTTTGTTCTTGTGAATTGTAAAAATTAATGATATAGAAGTTTTAAAAGCATCTTTTATGAAATGAATTTTGTTACATAGATTTTTCTGTTTTTTTTCTCAATTTTTACGGATTTAGGTCGTGACCTAAAAAAATCTAGGTCATGACCTAAAAAATCTTTGAAACTTGCCGACCGCGGACTAGAAATATTCCTCTTCCACATTTATTTCTGATTCAATTTACGAAATTTAAGATTTCTCAAACTAAATACAGTAATCAAAAAAGCGTTTTATTACATTATTTGTTACATTATGGAAAGAGATAGAGAAGAATCACAGGAAATCATTGATTGATATTATTATCATCATTATCACTGTAAATTGAGATCATTGCTGTTTGAACATGTGATGTTGTGCATTATTATGCTCTTGGAACGCATTCTCTTTTTCTTTTCGTTCCGTTTTCGTGGCCTCCTTTGTATGAATGTCGTATGCTAGGCCACCACCTGGACCAAAAGATGCTTCTTCCAGAGAGACGAGAATAGCACTTTCGTCTTCGAACTTTCCGAGAACCTAAAATTTAGAATATTTTTACAGTTTCGCAACAGGAAGTTCTGTAACTGGTCATTTTAGAACCGTTGGATCTCACAATCTTCATTTTTACTAGTAAAAAAACATACTACGACACACCGAAACAACGCACTGTGTCTAATATAGCATTTTTTAAAAGTTCTGCTAGCTACAGTACCGGAAACTAATTTAGTGATTTTACTCATTTTTAGTTGAAGTTGGTCATATCAAGAGAACAACGATTTTAAATTTTCGAACTTATGAAACCGCTGCTTTCTGTATCCAAAGGATTTTAATTCAAAAATAGTCAACTTTGAAGTACTAAAAAAGGATTTCAAAATTTTTCGATTCGGCCGAAAATTTGAGAGTATACTAAACAAAAATAGAGCTTCAATTTTAAAGTTGACAACTTTTTTTGCACAAATTCACCTAAATGAGATTTACCGTTTCTTCCAAAACTTCCAGAAACACATTTAATGTCGTGGCTTAGAAGTCGCATAACACAAAAACTATGGTAGCTAGAAAAAAGTGGACAATCACAAAATTGAAGCTCCATTCCAGTTTAGTATCCTCCAACGTTTTCAAGCCAATCAAAAAGTTTCGAACAACTTCGGAAGTGGGAAAATTATGAAAGTTTCTTTCCGCTACCGTAACTGCAGTAATTGGTGGGCTACCTAAATTATGGTCCGGCAGCAACACTCCAAAATTTTACGATTTTTTTTTCAATTTTTCGACTTTTTTCCTGGCTCCAGCGGGCTAAATCTGGACACTAGTACCACGGAAACTGAAGAAAGTTCCCAAAATCCCGAAAAACCACTTACATCAACAATAGGAATAATCTGCAGAAGCTTGGCCACTCTGACTGCTGCATCGGGATAACTACCACCACATTTGCCACGAATATATTCACAAAGTGTACTTCGATAGTTCATGGATCCTTTCGTCATCTCGATTCGTCCGAATTGAGAGTATAAATGACTGGGTTTTGTGGTGATAATTGCTTTCAAAAGACACATTTCCGTCTCATCCATTTGAAGTTCCTTCATTCGACTCACAACATCCGCCATGAATGCTTTTGTGATTTTTCCATAGTATCCGACGCATCTGGAATGTTTGTCTTTTTTTTTCAGTTTCACAATTTTCCCAAATTTTAACTAGATATTATTCAATATGATTATATGTGACTTCTTGCTCTATATTAAACCCTCTCATCTAATTTGAATGAATTATTACAAAAAAGTTGTTAATTACAAATATGAAGTTCTAATTTTGTTTACTATTAGTATTTTGTTTAGTATGCCCTGAAATTGTCACAGCAATAGTAAAGTTCTAGACCACATTTGTAGTACTTCAAGCATGACTGTTTTTCACTGAAAATGGATTCCGTACCAATAGGCGAAATAAGTAGTCGAAATTTCGAAATCGTTTTGAAACCAAAATTTTTTAGCCTTCTATATAAGAAGATTAAAATTTGAAAATTTCAAACTCTGATTCAAAAGTCTTCATAAATTAGAAAAATATGTAGACTTTATACAGAAAAAAATAACTCTAGGTATTTTGTAACTTTTTCATGTCTGCTGGAGAGATTTTCACAGAAATGTCTTGAATACGACACTTTTAGATTTTTTATGGGAGATAATTTTATTTTTAAAAAGAGGCTTACAATAAACGAAAAATGTTTATAATGCCCTCGAGTGGCTCGGGTTAGCTATACTTGTATCCAGACCGGCTACTCGGTTCAAACTTAGCATTTTTGTATGAACCAAAAAGTATGATACAGAACTCGACGAGATCTACAAAATGATATATAATTCGACTATACTCAACGTCTGGGTTTTGAAGACAGAGGCCGTGTTACGGCAGGGTCCGATTTTTCCGACCTGCATATTTCAGGGTTACTTGATGGGGAAGAGATGAGTTGAATATAGTGAAATTTCGCATCATTTTGTAAATCTTTACAAATTCTTCTTTTTTATTTCTAATTCACATAGGAATTCCAAATTTGAACAGAGTTATATCCCTAATATCACTGGCTTTATGACTTAAACTCACTTGGAACAAACAGACTGCTGAAGTGTCTCATCACTAGGGAACCAACTCCCATCGATGAACTTAATGCCCTCGGTCTTTGTCACATACGCCATATAAGCATACCAAAGCCATCCAACAGGCATTAGAGCCATTGTGACCAGTAACTTTTTATCCGCGATGTTTCCGAGCATCTGAAAAATCAACTATCGTAAATGCTGTCTTATACGCCTTATCTGTGCATTTTGAGCTCAATAATCTCGGTTCCTATGGGTGATATCAAAAATTTGTCAACTGATAAAATGTAGCTAATAATATGATGATAATTAGTTGATCAGTGGAAATGATTTGATATCTTTTTAAAGAGATGAAATAAATTGACTCAAATTTGGGTGCTACAGGGCCATCTCTGATCGATCGTACTCGCAAACTTGTTGATTTAACAACAGTGAGAAACAGAAAAAAAACTTGGAAAAAAAGCTTACATTATACTCTGGGAGTGTTGCGAACCAGTCAATGGTAAGCGTAAATGTGCGACACCAATTAAACCGAAGAGTATCAAATGTGATAAGTGGAGGATTTGAATTATGAAATAGTACTTCTGTCCTCTCACAAACATTCGCTGGATTCTCTATCGCCGGACCGATAGCACAATCCATTGTGTAATGAGCAACATAGAAGCTGACTTCGAACGCATTCATCACTTTTTCTTCCCCAATTCTCAACGCCGCGATTCGTTCGGAATTCGATCTACCGGCAAACAAAAGGGTGAAAGGGTCTGGTTTGATGTCTTCTGGACTGGCTTCGTGTCCCATGGTTGAGTAGTCTGAATGGATGTTCGGAAGGTTGGCGTCGTCATCGGAGTCTGTGTCTATTTCTTCTTTGATTTCCATTTTGATTGTTTTGTTATCCAAATCTGGTGTCTTCTTTTTTCTTTCTGTTCTGACCGCTGGAAAATAGAAAATTTTAGTTTGTGCCCGGTTAGCGTCGAGTCTTTTACAATGTAGTCTAATTTAAATTTCAATTGGTATCATTTTGTAGATCTCGTCAAGCTCTACATTTTACTATCTGATTCGCAAGGAAGCTCCAAGTTTGCTAGTTCGAATCGAACCGGTTGAGAAGCATAGGGACCACTTGATTGAATGAAGCCGGCCTATCCATGATTTGATCTGATCAGGAAACGGTAAAGATTCTCACCTTCTCTATCCATCCCCACAGCTTCGCACTTCTTGAGTCTACACTGCCGGCAGCGATTACGGTATTTGGTTTCGATGATGCACCGTCCACCAAATGCACAATGATAGACGCGTTTTTCCCAGATGCTGAAAAAAGTTGTTTTTGAAATGCTGAAATTCCAATGAAACCAGAAAAAGCTATCTTAACTGTTTTGATGTTCTTATTTCTGTGAGTATTCAAGATTTTGAAGTTTTGATGTCGGCTAAATAATGGGCAAAGCAATTTATGTGAAATGTACAAACATCAATTCATATTCACCGTCACGCAAAACTGCACTAAAAACCAACCTGCGTCGAAAAAATCCTTTACATCCATTACACGACATGGCGCCATAGTGTCTCTTTGCATTCGGATCACCACATACCAAACAGGACAAATCGTCGACCTTCGACGGATTTCTCCATTCATTGGCAGACATTCCGGTGAACGGCATGCCCAGCATGGTTGCTGGAAAAGCGGGATACTGTAGGTTAGTAAAAAATAAAAGTAAGGTCAAAGATAGATAAGCTGGCTCAGAACCAGGCTTGAGCTTAAAAAAAGAAGGAAATTTAGGAACAAATAATATTATTCAATCTCTTATTTACAAAAAATTTTTATCACTTTTCGTTTGTTTGCTACATATTTTAAATCGAATCGGGGAAGAAATTTGCACACGGAAATTCTAGAAAAATGAGATGGATAGAGGTAGAATGTGCAAGAAAAAAGACAAATCACAGAAAAAATAGTTGATGGTAGAGATCGTTTGGAAGAATGATAATAGGAATGGAGAGATGCAGATGGGTGGGATTCTTTGGGTTAAATGAGAAGATTCTGGAAGGTTCTGGAAGTTTGTTCAATGAACAAAAGTCGGTTGTTGCTCGTTGCTGGTTGGTGGATGAAGTGCTGTATGGATCTCAGTGGGTAGTCCGATGACGTCAGCCATATTGAAGATTGCGAGGAAGGTGATGTTGTCGTCTTCAAGGCGGGCGATTGACTGGAATTTGAAAGTGATCACGGTTTCGTAATGTTTTTATTTATTTGAATGTTTTCTCTAAATCATTGCATTCGGAAGTTCAATTGGATGATTATTTGAAAACACAGTTCTAGTTTGAAGGGGGAGGCTAGAAAAAAGGCATAAACTTCCAAAAAAGCCAATGAGAGTATTTTTTGAGCGTTCGATTGGAACGACACACGTCACCTTGATGAAACCGTAGAAAACATTTTTATCCAACTTTTTAAAAAAATCTATTTCTATTTTATAGTTTTATATAACAGATATGATCAGAATTTAATGGATTAACATTTTAAAAACGTTTCGGACTTTCAAATGCTGTAGTTGAAACAGAAATAAAAAATTCAAACCCCTACCTGACAGGACGTTATGAATCCAATGAACGTCGCGAGACGTTCCAGTGAATCATATCTCTCCGGGATCAATGAGCCTCCAGTGAAAATCGCCTCGTCAAATGTACAAGGCATATGGTTGGAAAGATACTCTATCAGAGCCGAGAGATACATGTTACCAAAGTTTTCAATTAGTTGATTCGCTTCGTGCGTGAGGCGGTAGTCTGGAAAAATGAACGTTTTTTTCCTGGTACTGTAGTTTTCAACAGGCTTGACAGAATAGTACTGTAGTGAAGCCTTCTGTGTAAATGGATACTGTGAAACAGAAAAAAGTTCTCACCTCGCCTGAACAAAATGATTGCCAACATCATCGAATACTCTTCTTCGGTCATTTCAATGAGTTTCATCTTGTTCACCAACTCATTCATCATTGTCGACGTACACTTTTGGTAGTAATCGGAGACTCTGAAAAATAGAAAGTACCGTAACCCCCATTACCTACTGACAATCAATTTTGAGCTCAATTATCTCAATTACAGTATGAGGTACAAAAATGTTGATGATATCATCAGTGACATTTCATTAATTTACAGATTTTTGATATCTCTGAATTAATTGAGCTCCATGTGTGATTTGCAGCTACTACATGACAAGGAAAACTGCTTCAAGAGTTTTCTGGCTTTTGATAAAATGATTCTGATACAGAAATAAAATTTTTACTTCCTTCTCACTATTTTAATTCTGCAAATCGAGATAAGGAACTTTGCCGTTTCATAAATTCTGTAACTTTCTGACTAATGAGTTCAAAACCAATCAGATTATCCATTCACGCTAGCTGAAACTCGAAAACTCACGGCTTCTCAACTTTTTCTTGCAAGTCGGCATCGTTTGGATACCATGCGTCATTGGTAAATGTGACACCGTCAATTCCTAATCGATACGATTGCCACGCGTAAAGAAGCCATGAAACTGGTGCGAAACGGAGTTTCAGAAGAGTCGTTCTGTCGGCAATGTTGAGGTTCTGGAATCAAAATTTCGGTATTTGAAGTTTTGGTTAACATCAAGCTAATCAATCGTCGCCAACGTTGTTTATTCAATTTCTGGGGGAGCTCCAAGCATGTGGATTTTCAGCCCCAAGCTTAAGAAAAAGGGATCCCAAAGGGTTAGAACCCCACCGGTTTCCATTTGTTTTTTGAAACATGTTTTGAATAGTTTGAAATTGGAAAATCAAAGTTTGGAAACTTGAAAACATGATTTCGTTGGAGTTTTGAGATTTTTTAGAAGTTTTTCAAGGTTTTATTATGGGAAAGTTCACAACTCGAGTTGTGCAACTTGAACCTCCATACTCAAGGATTCAATGAAACAAAAAATCAGTTTCAACGAAAATAGTGAGCATGAAACAGTGAGATCGTAAGCCAAGATGATTAAAAGTATCCATTCCCTCCAAGAGAAAATGCAAAATTCGAAACAGTGAAAAATGTTTTAAAACTCACACAAAGGTCTGGAAACGAATTCATATAGTCGTGAAACCATAGAAACGTTCGGCACCAGGTCACTGTGATGTCTCGTGTGTTCGCTAATCGGTGGGCTTTGGACCATTCGAGCTGCAAGGTAGTTGTAGTTTTTGAGGTTACGGTAAAAAACTAAAGTTTCATTAGTTGATCACTTTTCATCATCATTAACAGAAACCGAGACAAACTTGGTCAAAGTTACGGTGAAAAGTACAAGCGAAGCCAACGTCGGAACAATGGATTTGAAAAATCATCACTAACTTTACAATCATGAAACACTAATTCTTATTTTTCTTACCTTATTCCGTTTCGCCACCTTCCCCGGATCAACCATTGCTGTTCGGAGGGGTACATCCACAGTACAGTAGTTGTCAAAACACTGAACCATATCCTCGTATTCCGGAATACATGTGTTCTCGACTCTTCGTTGCTGGAATTATAAGCATAGTTAAGAGTTAATAGAGAATTTACTGAAAATCCCCTAACCAACTTCGAGCTCAAATGTCTCAGTTCCTTTAAGAGATATCACAAATCTGTCAACTAATTGAATGTTCGTCAGAACATCTCATTTCTTTTTGTTTAATGAATTTTCTTACATCTTTCATCGAAATTGAGATAATTTACTTCAAATACAAGTGACGACCGTGTACTTATCACAAACTGTTTCGAGAAAGTATTGACTTTGATACAATGCTCTTGATACAGTAATAATATTGACTTTTTGACACTATTTTCATATTCATTCAAAAAATGGAGATAAGGAATTTTTCCGTTTCAATAGTTTTGTAACTTTCTGACTAGTGAGTTAAAAACCATTCGTTTCGGCTCAGATGTGGACAATTTTTTTCAAGGATGTCATAATTGTAAATAATGTTATCTGATCCCGATTTAATTTTTTTTTCAGTTTCATGATTTTCACATCTTTTATGTACACAAAAAGGTTTCACTGTTAGACTGTTTTGATTTGGACAAACTGTGAATATGGCTTACAAATTAGCTAATATGAATTATTAGAACATTTACAATTAGAAAAAAAACCCCACAAAAATCAGTCCAAAACTCACAATTTCCCTCAACTCCATGACTGTCTTGGATGAATTATCCATGTCTGGTGTGGTACTGGGACTCGATGATGGACTTGGAGTTGATGGTAACGTATTTTGAATGCTCGCTCGTTTCGTTCGATAATTCATTTTGGCGGCTTTCGGGTGTTTGGGCATTTTGGCCGGCTCGATCTCGCCAATTTTTGCCGGATGTCGTTCGGATTGGACGGCTGGAAATATTGGAGTGTAATAATGCATGCTTGTGAAGGGGATTTGGAAAATTTTCTGTTTCAAAATGTTTGTGGATTTCTGGCTTTCTATTAAGCGCCGCTAATCAGGGGATATATACTACTAGTATACTCTGAAATTTTCAGATAATTTGAAAAATTATGAACCACTAGGACATCAAAGTTGACGATTCACCATGTTCAATAAGTTTCGAAATTTCGGTTCCAAAAGTATTGTGAAGTTCCTACTATTCATGAAACTCCGCTTTTTTCAATGTATTAATAAGAACTAACATTTCTCATCCATTCCCACACTGTAGCACTTTTGAAGTCGGCACGCTCTGCATCGATTACGGTAGACCTGTGAGACGTCGCAATTGTTTCCCATCGTACATGAATAGGTTCGATGATCCCAGACACTGAAAAAATTGAGGATTGGGTAGTCAAGGTAAACGTTTAATTAGAAGAAGACCTACTACTATTTTAAAATTTTTTTCTGAAATTTGTTACAGTTTGGAAACAGTGTTAAAAATGGAATTGCATAAAAATTCGTAAGCCAAAAAATTTGAAAAAATACTGTTTCAAAACTTTGTTGAATTTTTCGAAGATATATATTTCAAAGCGATAAATATACGACTTTGCAATATTTGTCTGGAGACCCACAAAAAATTCAGTAAACATCACCCTACATATATTTGCACTTTGAGCCCATTTATCTCTGTTCCTATAACATTTATCACAAATCTGTCTATAGATAAAATGTTTATCATGCTATCACCAACATTTTATCAGTTGACAATTTTTTGATATCTATAGGAACCGAAATAATAGCTCAAAGTGCAAATTCTAGGAACCGGAAAATTGTCAAAAAAATTGACAAACCTTCGTCTAAAAAATCCTTTGCATCCATTGCACGCCACGGTTCCATAGTGTCTTCCAGCTTTCTCATCTCCACAAACCAGACAGAATTGTGTGGGTTCTAGAGAATTCTTATAGTTAGTTAGAAGAGGTGTGTTGAGCATTTTCATTTTTCCCGATTTTTTAAAAATTATCTTCAGAAAGCTGATTTTTTGTAAAATATAAAAGCAGAGAGTACTAGTTGTCAGAAGCTGAAATTTCTTCTATTTTCAATCTTTGTGTGTTTTGTGCTCTTTCCCTCCCCGCACGACTTCCGTTTCTCTGAATTCTAGGCTCCTTCGTCAGAAGCTCTCTTCACTAAACACACTATTTCTTTAAGGGGTGATAATGATAAAATCTGATAAGTTTGTGCGTGCGTTAGTGTGTATGAGTAAGCTACACATTTTAAAGGAGCATAACAAAGTTATTTCGTGCGATGTCTGATAGAAGAAAATGTTGATGTGTCGGTTAAGAAAAGAGGAGGATTAGAATAAGAGATTTCAAATTTTTAGATTAGGATTAAAATTTTTGAAAAATTCCGCAAATAAAAATGAAATCAGAGGATGAATTAAACTAACTAGATTTAGAAAATTGTAACATAAAATTAAAAGACTAGGAATATCTAATGAAAACATATTACAATTAAAAATAACATTGAAACAGATAATTTTAAAAGCACACTTTTTCGCATTTTTAGGGTTCAAAGATTTTTCAAAAAAACAAGTAAAAATGTGTGTCTTAAATCACTAACTAAATTACTAACTCAGTGTTCCCAGGAATTTCAGCAAAAAAACTTTTTGAAACAAAAATTTTTTGAAATCGTTTTTGCCACTGATAGATAGATATGAGGTCTATAACTTTTAAATAATTTAAAACTAGTACAATAGTATTGTATTTCAAATTGACTTTCAAACTATTTCAAACTGATTATTAGGTTTTTGAAACATACCGTAAACACTCTAATAGAACGCCACTCGGACCGTTCACTTTGGGCTTCATATTTGAGTACTGGGGTGGCGTTCTATTAGAGTGTTTACGGTAGTTTTGTGAACTAATTTTCATTTTTTTTGAAAATTTATGTTTTACGGAGTCGAGTTATTTTGCCCTAAAAATTCCTGACTAGTTTATCAGATGGAGGTAAGAATGAATAAGATCATTTCCAGAAAAGTCTTAAAACACATTGTAAAATAAATTCTCCAAAAACTGAAATGTCTAGTTTCAGTTTAATATCAAGAAGTTTTGAAACATTTGTTAAACATTTTCAAAAGTGAATTTTTCGGATTTTTTTCAATGTTTCAACTTGTTCTCATGAACTTATATCAAGCATTTTGTGTAATCTTGCAATCTTTCGTGCCATATTAAATTTTTAAAAGAAATTTGAATTTAAAAAAAACAGAAACTTACTGATTCGTGGTGATGGGCTCATGATGACACTGCAGGGATACTGAAAAAGAAACTGTAATTTTGGAATTTCGTAATTGTTTTTTATCATTATTTTGGATTAAACAAATTTGATGTCATAAGATACCAATTATTGAAGCGAAGACACTCATGCACTTTTACAAAATTGAAGAAACCGAAAAATTAAGAACAGAAAAGTAGTCAACTTTAACTCAATTTATCTTAATTCCTGTGAGATATATCAAAAAGTACCAACTGATAAAATATTTTTGACATTTTGATAACAAATTTCTTAGTTGACCACTTTTTGATAACTTTTAAAGGATCCGAGATATCTGGCTCAGAATTAGGGGCACGATTGGTTGAAGTGATTTTGTTCTTTACTGTGGGGAAAACAGTAAAGAAACAATTTTTGAGAGCCATGTTTTTTGTTTCAATGGAAACAGCGAAAAAAGAATAGAAAAAAGACTCACATTTTTTGTCTTTTTTGGAAGTGTACTATGTTCAGTAGTCGGAGAAATTTGATGTTGATGTTTCTTCCATAAAGACTCTTTTTCACAAATTTGGAATATTTTTAGTTTTGTTTTCTCTGAAAATTCAAAAAGTTGAAAAGAAATACAAAAACGGTTTCAGAAAAGTGAAAAGTAGCCAGATTTTTTTTTGAAAAAGGTGATCATGAAATATGGGGTCTTGAATTTAAGGATTAAACTAGACACAAGGTTTCGGATTTAGAAGAATCTTAAGAGAACAAGAAATCCGAGAAATGAGACAAAAATGACGATGATCAGAACGGGATTATTTTTTGTCTCGGGAGGAATAGAAATAAAAATGCGAGGAATAGGTGAGAAAAGGAAGAAGAAAAGGGAAAGAGAGAGAGAGGGAGAGAGAGAGAGAGAGAAAAAAAAAGATAAAAGAGAAGGAGACACTAATTTAAGAAAACTGGAGAAATAGTGGTGGACCGTAGCACGAGTAGGAATTTATCGAAATTTTAGAAAATCGACCAAATTCTAAATGAGGGGAAACTGTAAAAAATTACTATTAAACATTTTTTAAGGCTGTTTCTGGCACTTTTTGCATTTTAAAACATCTCTGGGACCCATTAAAACCTATAATTCACCCTTAAAAACGTGTTTCCGGTCAATATTCAGAAAAATGCATGGATGGCGTAGTGGGATTTCGGACGAATAGAGTGTACCATTGTAATGATTTTGCTGTCTTACAGTTCAGCAACTTTCTGAAACAGAAAAGAAAAAAACGCATAGGAGGCCTAATGGGATTTTTGGTCAAGTTTTGGAAAAAGAGGTCCCGGGTTTGAACCCCACCGGTGGCTATTTGTTTATTAAAAGTGTTTTCAAAGGTTTTTAATGGCGGGGAATTCAGAAATCAAGGTTTGGAAACCTGAGAATGGGATTTTGGTGCAGAAAAATGGAATTTTTCTTCTGAAGTTGACCGAGAATTCTGTTCTTCTAAATTTTTATTCTTGATTAAAAGAAATTTCCAGAGCAACGTTCACATCGTAATGAGTTTGCTGTGTTTAGCAACACTCCGAAACAGCAAAAAAGTTTTTGGAAACCTCGAAGTTCTGCTTCACTCTAAACCACCTAAGTTTTTATACATATCCTAGTACACCCCATGTGCTTCTCCAAAAACCACCACACCCCAAAACCGTGCCGGCGCCCCACGGAACAGAACACAATATTCGAACCGATTTCCGGTACCCCGTCGTCAACAAAAAGACAAAATGTTGCAGAAGACATGGATATCATCATATCCAAATACACGAGATACGGTAAGAGACGCAGACAACCGAGACGACGCCAACAAAAAACGGCGCCAAGGTCCCCTGGCGCCAGGGGACTTTGATGGTTTGGGGGTGGGGTCCAGGGGGCGGGGACAGAAAAAAAATGTATCTGTGTAGTTTGATTTGATGTTGCTGTGTGTGTGACGTCACACACGTACGACAAATTTACGATTACTTTGGTTTAAGATGTTTCTTGTCTTTTTTGTTCCTCGTGGGGTCTCTTTGAAGGGTCATCAAATGTTTCTTTTCTCTTTTTGACGTTGTATACGGCAAAGTTTAGAAGGGAATGATCTTTGAGGCTGTGGACAGGTGTACTCTACTGTTAAAAACTGTAATAATAGAAATTTCTGACTTTGAGCCAAAAAAAAATACCCGGAAAACATAAAAATACGGGGAAACAAGGAACTGTTGGGGGGAGCGGTATCAAAACATGCTTTTTTTTTCAGCCAATATACTTGTTTTGTAAAACCGAAAAAAAAATTTATCACGAATTACAAATTACGAAGCTTACGGTCACAATGGTCACTTCAACTTTGAGCCAATTTATCTCGTTCCCTGTGAAAGATATCAAAACGTGGTCAATTAACAAAATGTTCAGCATAACATTTAAAACAAATTTTCGATTAACTTCTTCTTGGTATCTTCTACAAGAATCGAGATATATTGGGCAGAAACTGGGTGCTTCTAGAGTTAGGCTCGAATGGGATGGGGCGGGAGGTAATCATTTTCATTTGGAAGAAGTGAAGTAATCAATACAACGATTTTTAAAAAATAACGAATTGAAACGGGAGGAAAAAATAGACTTGAAAAACAGTTTAACATCGACTAAAATAATGAGGAAAATGTTTGCTACAGTAATCAAAGGCGCATGGGATAAATTAGGGAAAGGATTAATGAAAAATTGATGTATTCTATTGTATTGCGGGCATGTAATAGTTATTTTTTAATACTAACCAATTTGACAGAAACTTGAAGCAGTAAAAAATAATGATTGTCTAGCAGCTCAAAGTCAAAGTCAAATGGAGCAAGTGGAACAGAAAACATTTCAATTTTTCTGTATTGGATTTCCAATCCACAAATGAAAAATGACCATTTATATTGTTAAAAAAATGTTTCAAGTACTTTTTGAACTCTCTGAAAATAGTCTCATAATGATTTAGTCTCCATTTGTTTATGAAATTATACTAGAAAAATTGGAAAACAACCTAGTTTTTTTCTAAAATTTCAGTTTCACTTATGACAAAAAATATTCTACTTTGTGATCCTATCACGTTTGGATTGCAATTTTAGTTTGAGTATTACAACTTCCAAAGTATTTATTTTCTTGACTAAAAAAGGTTACAAGCGAAATATCACGGCCCATTGGAAATTTACTTTTTGGAAGATCTAATACAGTAAATAAGAAACAGTAAAAAATTGTAAAACGGTCTCAAGTTAGTAAGAAACTCAGAATGTCATTATTCAACGGTTGTGAAGGAGAATCAGTCGTCATATGCTTGAAAACAATTAAACATTGAAACCAAAGTTGGATTGTGCTCATTCGAGGATTTCCGAAGTCTAAGGGTTTCCGAAACAGTGCAATGAAGTTCGTGGAAAATACAAAAATTTCAAAATAAATAGAAATTTAAGATCCATTAATCCAAATTTACATTTTAGAGCAGTCCCCAAAGGAATTTTCAGAGCACCAAGGAAATTCAAACTTTGAAAAAGTACAGTTTCAAACGATCGAGAAAAACGGGACCAATATGTAAAAATTTTAATATGTAGTGATAAAAGTTGATCTAGACGACAGATAGAAATTTTAAGGAACATAAAAGAATCACTTCATTAACAAAAATTGAAGTTTGTCAAAAAAATAATAATGAATTCTTTGAAACTGCGAAAAAATCAGAATCTTCAGAAAATTTCAGATTAAAATAATTTTATAAT